GCCCGGGAATTCCTGGAATTTGACGTCATCAAAATTCCAAGAAGTGGCACGAAGAATACCTCCTCACAACTTATGTTCTCCTGATACAAATATTCGAAATCGGTAGGTGGAATTTCAAAAATCTGGCCCGGGAATTCCTGGAATTTGACGTCATCAAAATTCCAAGAAGTGGCACGAAGAATACCTCCTCACAACTTATGTTCTCCTGATACAAATATTCGAAATCGGTAGGTGGAATTTCAAAAATCTGGCCCGGGAATTCCTGGAATTTGACGTCATCAAAATTCCAAGAAGTGGCACGAAGAATACCTCCTCACAACTTATGTTCTCCTGATACAAATATTCGAAATCGGTAGGTGGAATTTCAAAAATCTGGCCCGGGAATTCCCGGAATTTGACGTCATCAAAATTCCAAGAAGTGGCACGGATACCTCCTCGCATCTTATGTTCTCCTGATACAAATTTCCAAAATTCGGTAGGTGGAATTTCAAAAATCTGGCCCGGGAATTCCTGGAATTTGACGTCATCAAAATTCCAAGAAGTGGCACGCAGAATACCTCCTCATAACTTATGTTCTCCTGATACAAATTTTCAAAAATGTTCGATAGAATTTGAAAAATCGCGCTCCGAAATTTCTTGAAATGACGTTATGAAAATTCCATGAAGCACAAAGAATACCTACTCATAATGCATGTTCTCCTGATACAAATTCTCAATATTTCGTTTTTTATTTTTGTTTTTTAAAATTGGGGACAATTTTTGGGGATGGGAATGACGGGATTTATAAATAAGTAAATACGCAAATACATGTTTTTATTTATATTTATTTTCAATCACTTTTGTACATCAAATGATTTAATATATTTTATTAATAGATAGATACATTATTAACACTTAATTCTAGGACGCAATTATCGTAACAATATGTACATATTAGTGTGCGCTGTAGTACAGGATTTTGTAGAAAGCTAATAAAAATCTGTTGAAAGAATAAAGATAATGAAGCAATTAATTTGCTTCTAAAGTGTTGAAGAAAACTGTAAGTTATGGAAGAAAATGTGATGAATACATAAATCGGACGATTGCTTTCTTGCGCTGTATTAAATGCCGTTCACATTAGGCTATTTTGACATGTACTTGCCTAATCTGGACGTCCCCTTATGGAGGTTCGACGCAGCGCCATCTAGCAGTAATACGTGGAACTACAATAAAAACTTCGCTGATGGTATATTATCGTTGAAGCGCAATCAATTAATTACCGACAACATCCGGTCGGTACTTTACACGTGTTCATCATAGTTCAGAAGTTGTCGTTAGATGGCGCTGTTAACAGAATTTGTACAGCCAGCGCCATCTCTCCGGCAAACAGGTAGAACTACACGTATTTGAAACCCCAGGTTCATTAGTTCCTATTTCCACCGCTAGAGGTCTAAAACTCAACTTTATAGCGAGAAACTTCAACTCCGTGGACATCTAGCGGTGAAAGGTAGGAACTAATGCAACTACAGTTTCAAACGTGTGTAGTTCACCCTGTTCGCCGGAGAGATGGCGCCACTTGTTCCA